GAACTGCACCCCAAGCTGCTGACAGGCAAAACTCATGACATGAGTGCTTGTGCAACTGACTGTCTCTGTCTTGGGGCTGACTATCTGTATTGATTCTTTCCACTCTTTAGTCTGTCATTTTGCACCTGTTAATCCATGCTCGTTAACTCATTTAGTAGCTAGGTACTGTGTATTGAGCTGGTCCCTGAGTGAATCATGATTAAATGGTAACTGGTACCACAGTAGCTTAGCAGCCAGGCCTGCAGTAGTGTGTCCCCCCCTTCCCCCATGCCCCAAGACAGACACAGTTGCACAAGCACCTATGTCACAAGTTTTGTCCGTCAGCACCTAGAGGTGCAGAGACCCAGAACCCAGAAGCCCCTGCGCCAATCTCGACAGCTGGCAGGCTTTGTGGCTGCAGCAGGGGCTAGCAGGCCTGCAGCTTTCATCCTGCCGCACCTTGAGACACACGGTCACCCATGTCACAAGTTTTGTCCGTCAGCACCTAGAGGTGCAGAGACCCAGAACCCAGAAGCCCCTGCGCCAATCTCGACAGCTGGCAGGCTTTGTGGCTGCAGCAGGGGCTAGCAGGCCTGCAGCTTTCATCCTGCCGCACCTTAACACACACGGTCACCCATGTCACAAGTTTTGCTTGTCCGCAGCTTTAGGTGTCGTTTCCCCCAAACCCCTGCACTTATCTCCTTGAAACTTGGCAGGCTTTGTGGCCTCAGCCGGGGGCCACCACCCCTGCAGTTTTTACCTCCCTGTGGTATAACACATAGACGTGACATGAGTTTTTCTTTCCAGAATTTGGGGTGCAGTTCTCCCCAAACCCCTTCACTGATCTTCTTGAAACTTCATGCTGTCAGCAGAGGCTACCACCCATGCAAGTTTCATCTAAATCAGACAAGACAAAAAACAACAAAGTTGTAGATATTTCATTGATTCCCCATTATACCCTATGGCTGGATCTTCAAGGCAGCTCTGAAACTTCGGAGCCACTTCAACTGGGTTGAAGCAGAAACCCAGTCCGGAGCTCTAGATCGGATCCCTGGCATCTGAAGCAGCCAGATCCGAATCCAGATCAAATAGTTGCCTACTTGCACAGGCCTAGTGCGCAGTGTTTTACAGAACTTGGAGCTGGAAGCCAGTAGGATTCATAGGTTAAAATATACATATAAAGAAGAACAGTTGTTTAACAAAAATGCTCCTTATACAAATTCTTCAAATGCAGAGTATTAGAGCTTCTGATCCTAGGCCTTAACATACCTCCAAGAGGAAGAATGGAACCAATTTATACTGTTCAGATTTCCTTCTCTGAAAAGTCATAGTTTTCCCTCAGCTAAAAAAGTTGATGGAGAGCCGTAAAAAATATGAAATATAGGAAATAAAACTTTGTTATTCAGATGTGACCAATAGGGCAAAGTAGTAAGTTTAGAAATGAAAGAAACACTACTCTAATACCACATGTGGTAAACTTCAGGATAAAAATATTTTCTCAATATATTTAGACAAAGTATTTGGGCAGGAAGAGAAATAATTTTTTTTTTTTTCAGTTTTACATCACTTCATCATCATGGCTTATTAATGTCATTACTGTTGTACGCAGCCACCACGCGCACTTCTCTCTACAATCAGAGTTATTTAATATTTGTTAAAGCTATTCCCCCCCCCGTCCTCATCTCTGTTTAAAGTTACTACTAAAAGGTTCTTGGCTTCTCTGCATTGATGATATTTTGTGCTTAAACTATTTTATGTCATTGTCATAATTCCTTCCAAAATAACTCATTTGTCAGGATATCCTTATCAGCTGGTGTTCAGGACGGCTCATCAGATTTGGGAGAACACTGATTTAGATTAAGCATAGTAAATTTTTCACTTCAACTCTTAAAGATGAGAAGAAAGAAGAAATCAGTTTCCTTGTTAAAAACTAATACAACTCAGAACAATTTTCTGAACACTTGATGCCCTGTAATTATTTCACCTCATTAAAATTCTTTTCATTCTCTTCCAGACTCAGAGGAAGAATGTCAAGAAATGATGTGTGAATGTGACAGTGAGGCTGCTAAGTGTTTTGCTAAAGCCCCTTATAATTCAAAATATATTTTCTGGCCAGACTTCAAATGTGGTGAGAGAGAACCTAAATGTAAAGATTAGTGTACTGTTACCTTACTAATATTGAATACAACTGTATATGTTTTTGAACAACAAACTTTCCTTCGGCTAGTGGTGGTCATTCTTTTTCTAAGGCATACTAATGCCTGTATCTAATTATTATAAAGCATAGAGTAGAAACAAATCTAGTGGTTCAAGTTATAATAGCAGAGTAGCAACTTTTAACATCTGAATATTGAATATAATTTTTACCAGATGTTTCTAATACTCTAAAATTATATTACCTCAAAAAGCAGCAGAACATTAACCTGATGGTTCCTCAGCTTCAGGTGCCAGTTTTATTACTTTGTTCACCACAAGCAGTTTTGTCAGCTGTATTGCTTTATCATGCTCACATTCCCAAGACAAGACATTGGGATCTAGTAAAGGGGAGGGCAGTTATTTCGGGCAGAAGGTCACTTACTGAGTTTTGGCAAGCTGTTAAGGGCTGCATTTCCCTTTGACACAGGGAAGCAGGAACAGCCCCATGGTCCCAGGCCAGAAGCCTCAACTAGGCAGGGGTTTCTGCTTGGGGGGGGCAGGGCTGGGCAGGCCTTGCTGTTAGGTAGAAAGAGGACCCAGGAAACTATAGCCCTGTTATGGTCCTGGGGAAGCTCTTTGAGAAAATTATCCAGGTGCACATTTGCGAGGGACCAGCAGGGGAGTTTGTGCTTGGGGGCAGTCAACACAGGTTCATTAGAGGCAGGTCCTGTCAGAAAATCTGGTGGCCTTCTATGAACAGGTTACAAAAGCCTTGGACACAAGTGTCATGGTGGACGTAGTCTTCCTGGAGTTTAGGAAGGCCTTCGACACTTCTCTCACCCCATCCTCATTACAAAATTAGGCATCTGTGGTGTCGACACCTACACAGTCAGATGGGTCGCAAATTGGCTGGAGGGCCACACCCAGAGAGTGGTGGTAGACAGGTCATTTTCGACCCAGAGAGATGTGGGCAGTGGGGTTCCCCAGGGCTCAGTCCTTGGGCCCGCACCGTTCAATATCTTCATTGGTGACTTGGGCGAGGGGGTGAAAAGCACCTTGTTCAAGTTTGCAGATGACACTGAGATGCAGGGAGAAGTGAGCACGCTAGAAGAGAAGGTCAGGCTACACCTAGATCTTGACAGGTTACAGAGGTGGGTGGATGAGAATAGGATGCGTTTCAAGACGGACACGTTGCACCTGGGGAGGAAGAACCAGCAGTATACCTACAGGATAGAGAACTCCCTTCTCATCAGCACAGAGGCAGAGAAGGATCTTGGTATCACTGCTGATTCCAAGATGAACATGGAATGCCAATGTGGGGATGTGGTCAGGAAGGCTAACCGTACTTTGTCATGCATCCATCACGAGCAGGTCCAAGGAGGTGATCCTCCCCCTCTATACGACACTGGTCAGGCTGCAGTTGGAGTACTGCATCCAGTTCTGGGTGCTGCACTTCAGGAAGGATGTGGACAGCATTGAGAGGGTCCAGAGGAGGGCCACTTGCACGATCGGGGGCAGCAGGGCAGGCCCTACGAGGAGAGGCTACAGGACCTGAACCTGTTCAGCCTCCACAAGAGAAGGCTGAGAGGGGATCTGGTGGCCGCCTATAAACTTGCCAAGGGGGACCAGCAGGCAATGGGAGAGTCCCTGTTCCCCTGAGCACTACTGGGAGTAACAAGGAACAACGGCCATAAGTTGACCAAGAGTAGATTCAGGCTAAATATGAAGAGGCACTACTTTACTGTCAGCACAGCTACGAGCTGGAACCAACTTCCAAGGGAAGGTCCTCCACACAGCCCCTTCTCTGGGCTCTCGGAGTCTGACTTATCCCTATTGGGCCTTTGGGACTCTAATCCAGGTCTCAGCCTTGCCCTAGGTTTCTGGATCCCCCGCTGGGCTGCACGCTCCCAACTGTGGGTTCCTGTGTTACTGGTTCTCTAAGTCACCCCTGAGCCTGCCACAGCAGTACTCGAGAATAACTTCCCCCCGCCCCCCGGTCCCTTAAATAAAAAAGCCCAAAGCATCTCTGGCAGACGCCCCAAACTCACTCTGGGTTTAGCCTAAAACAAAGCCTGCTAGCCTGTAAAACTCAGTCTTCCTCTGCCCAGGTGACTTGCCTGTTCCCACTTGCACTGGCAGGGTTATTTACTTAAGTTCAAGTCCCCTTGGGAGCCCTGCTGCTCTGCTGCCAGAAGCTCCTCACTTCCAATACCTGCCCTGGTTAGGCAGCTTCTTCCTGGCAGTTGTGGCTTATATAGCTCAGGCATGAGCCCTTTTCCTATCACGTGAATCTCTAATTAGCTCCCTATTTCACTTGCAAGTGGCCTCTCAGGCTGCTTGCTTTCTTAAAGCACAGGCTTTCAATCTTTTTTAATAAGTGTGCCTCTGGGTGGCCCCTTTTTTAACAAGTGTACCCCTGGGGGGGTGTAGCAAGCAGCAGAGCAGCAGCAGCACGGCACCTATGAGGCCCTGTGAGCCAGCAGCGTGGGGTAGCAGCCTTTCAAAATACACATACCTCTGGGGGTACCCCCACTGACAACCCCTGCCTTAAAGAAGCAGGCACACCCCAGTGCCCTGCAACATAGGGTTTCGGCAAAAGGAAAGAGGTCTAAGCTTTAGAAAACATCTTTATTTTTTTTATCTAATTTTTAAAAAATGTTCATATGATACAAATGGAAAAAAGTCACCAAGATGCAATTCGTAGCGTTTTAAGATGGATGTTACTTTTGTTTCACTCAAACACCAAATGATAAATCTCTTGTTTATACAAAAATCACTTTTCATTCAGTAAGTATTTACAGAAAGAGTTCTTAGTACATCAGCAGATCACACTAGGAAGAGTTTACAGTGTTAGGTCACTTTACCAAATTAATATTTTAATGGTAGTACCTGAATTTAGTTTATCTGATAGTGCTTTCTCTTCAAAGTTGTTTCAGAAATTAAGTCAGCTCTTGATAAAATTTAGCATGCCTGAATAATATAGCTTAATTAAAAGATTTGGAATGCAAAGAAAACCCTTTCTGTTGTCTATGGCTGAAACAGAAGAAATAACTGAATAAACACTATGACAGATTTGTGCATTTGACTGAAGCATCTCAGTATGTGAAACCAAATCTAAACCTGATATACTTCAATATCAGACCCATTAATGAAATCAGCAGCTCACTCTGTCATACATAAGCTTCAGCTCACTGTTCCCTCTACCTCCAAGGGAATGTTAAGTTATAAACAGTACAGCTCACTAACTTAGAGAGTAGAAGGTAAAGGTCCTATCCAAGAACATGACAAATACATTTCTCAAATACTGGAGTAGAAAACAATCGACTCCCCTAACCAAAAACATGTCTTCAGCTATTTTAAACCAGCCCATAAAAGAATAATGTCCTTCTCAATTATGGCAAAGCGACCTAAGGACAAAGTCTACCTTTATAGTTATTGTACCCCCTGCATGAAAGTGACTTACCTTAAGGCAATTTTTTTAATCAACAAAAATCAGCACTTTCCACACTGCATTAAGGAAGGAAAAGAAGCAATATTTCTCTTTCAAATGTCAGACTTCAGACATCAAAATGGCTCAGATATTGACTTCTGAAGAAAGTTTTAACATTGATCATTGCACTTATGTTTCCAGACGTCTTATTTCTTTTACCACAAGATCAATATTTATAATTGGATTAAAGTACAGAGCCCAGTAAAACAAACAGTTGCAGACAAACTGAGGAATAAAGGGCCAAAAGATGGCAACAAAAAGTCCCTGGGTAGACACTTTCCAGAAGTGGCTCCACATTCTATGAGGAATAGTCCTGAGAGAGAGAGCAAGAGAAGCATCTTAGAGTGGAAGTCTTTGACTGCTGCAGGATTTTTTCTTCTGTTTTTAATAGCTATCAGTGCAACATATACCATATAGTCACTGTTTATTTAATTAAATGTGATAAGTCACCTAGCACTCTTACCAACTGTCCAGCAATGTAATCAGATTCCAAGAAAGTGCGGCTCCTGACCTGGAACACGTTGAGCATTAAACAGCTAAAAAAAACTTAACAGGAATTAGCTAACTATGTGGTACTCAGAATTAGGTATTTTACCAATTAGAATTTAATTTAAGTGCTTTTAGGAAAAACACTGGTTACATTACTAACTTTAGTATGAATAAATACTACAGCAGGTACTGAAGTATAGGCAGATTCAGATTCTTTTATACTTGGGAGTTATTTCAACATACTTATTTTCAGTAAGCAACTGTCAAGTTACTTATCCCAGCCACATACTTATTCCAGTCACATACTTGAGACTTACTTCAGTTTCCTTCTTGACCAGAGCTTCCAAAATGAAAATAATTCCAGAACAGAGAGCAGCATGGCATTGACAATTATAAATCTCGATGTCCAATAGTGCACCTCAAGCCAATCCCAGGCAAATTCAGCTATTAATTGGTATGGCAAAAGTAAGTACTTAACAATGAATTCTCTCCACTGTTTCCAAGTAGGATCTGTACGGTCCTAAATTAAAAATAAAGCTACAAATTAGTTTCATACCAAGCAGTTCAAGTACTGGTTTAGTCCACTTTTCATTGCTTTATAACTACAAATTGTTTTTGGTTTTTTTAAAAAGTACTTCTCTCCATTAATTACTTGTTCAATTATGAAGTTACTGTTATTTTCTCACATATGACATATCCCCCAAATAAAACATACCTTGTTTTTGGAAGGTCAAATGTAGGGAATTTTTTGTTTTTATTTTTTACAATCATAGCTCGCTGTGTGACATAGGAGGAAGTACCCCAAGGAACATAGTGTCCAGGAAGTGTGGCACCAGGAAAATCTTAATGTAAGCTGCCTCATCCAGACAGTCTCCTGGAAGGCCATACTTCCTGGACACTATGCTCCCAGGAGGATTTACCCTACTGCACACAAGGTCAAGCCCCATATCCATCCAAGGCCAGTAACAAGACTGCTAGTTCTTTACTTTAAGTAGTTCTTTATGTAAGTTGCATAAATAAAGTGTTGTTTCCACATTACAAGCCTCTTCAGAATACTACTGGCAGCTCATCTGCTGCTTTGGGTACAAGCTACACTGCTCAGCCAATAGGTATGCTTATGTGAGAGGGTTAACACCGGGCTTCACCATCTTGGCAGCTGCAAAGTATGCACAGTTTTCAGGGTTGTTTCTTTCCAAGCAAACTCTCTGCTTAAAAAACACATGCCCTACTTTTGAGTGGCTGATTTTGGAGGAAAGCATTTGTCCTGTATGTGAGAAAAATACTGCATTGCTAGAAAAAAATTACTATTACTGACATCTGCCTCATTTCTTTTTTAACCATTTTTAGGCTGAAGTTGTGTTGGGGGTGGGGGAGAGGGAGGGAAGTGGATTACCAACAAGATTGAACCCATAAATTCTTTGGGCCAGGGACGTGAAGTTTGACCACAGGTTTGCCCATGGGTCAGCACCTTTAGAAATAGCATCCTATAAAGGTGGTATTCAGTCCCCTCATTAACATCAAAATGTAGATGTTGAAGCCTCTGGATTTAAAAAAAATCCAAACTGCCACTGGCACATTTTAGTACAGACTTGCTGTATAGTTCAGGAGCAAGTACACCAAACATTCCTTCTGAACTGAACCATGCACCAAGCTAAGGTAGTATGGCAGTGGCGTACTATGGTGGTGGGGTGCTGCAGCATGCTGCTCCAGGCTGCTGCAGCCAGGTGGAACTGCCCTGTGCACCTCAGTGCACAGCCGGTAAAGCTAAAGCAGTCAGGTACACCTACTCTTGCTGCAGGCTCTCCCAGTCTGATCCCACCATGCTCCTACTGGTAAGAGGTGCATAGGGCAGTTCTACCTGGTTGCAGTAACATCAGCACTCCCGTTGAGAAACACTGAGGTAAGTTAAGGCAGCATAAAAGTGGTTCTCAATTGGGGATGTTGCTAAATTTTAAAAAATTTAGAGGTATACCATGAATCTACAAAAATTTGAGAACTGCTACTGTAGGGGGTTGTGTAAGATAGTGGGCTAAGCAGACCAATGGCATAACCCAGTAAATGACAGTTCTTATGCACAAAGTTGGAGAACAAGGGCAGGGTGACAGGAATAGGCAGGGTAGTAACTAGACCTGTACCTTCAACACGGCTGCACGAAGTATCACATGACTGACATGAACTAGCAGAAGACTGTTCTCAGAATTGGGACATAGGAATTATTTTCATATGTAACCACCCTTTTTTTCCCCAGGCCCCAATCTTAGGGCAGCCTGCCTGAGTAGCTCAAAAATTCTAGTCAATTTGGAGATCTTTTTCTGCTTCAAGAGATGAAAAGGGACAATGAAAATATAACCTTAACTGGGAGTGGCTCTAGCTATTTCAAAGGCATACTGTTGTTGTTTAGAGAAAACTTGTCCTTTTTCTATGACATTTACCTTAGTATTGGGCAGATATCCCACCAGAATTAATTGATAAAGACTAACGATTTTAAATAAAGGTTCTGTTTTTCACTTTAAAAACAATAAAAAGTAAAGATTGAATCTTGTTTTAGGACTATTTAAGTTAAATAAGCAAAAAAGAATAAAAACACACTAGTGCATTTAAGGCTGCTAATATTTTAGGAGTTTTTGCTAGATATGATACTATTTCCATATATAATGCACCTATTTAGGGTCTTAATTTACATTTTTGAGAAAGTGGTAAATGATGAAACTCCTATTTATAAGGCAAATATTTTCTTGTGATGCATCCAGCAACATTTGGAAAAGTGGAAGTCCACAAAAAGTTTAAGTTAGTTAACACAAAATTAGCTTAAAATATACTTGATGCTAAAGAAAATTATTATCCAATAAAAATTTTGCTTTTTAAACAAAGGAAGCATTTATGAATTGTACCAATTATTGCTTGTCAGCATCTTTCAAGATTTTAGAATGTGTAGCTCTCAAACATCTTGTTTTTCATGCTTTGAATGAAAAAAAGTCAGGAAAATTTGTAAGAGAAAACAACTTCAACTAAAATAAAGATATCACTCTGTCCAAGTCTGGTCTGGCACTTCAAACACTGGCTCAGTAGCTTCCCTTCTTTAAAACTTTTGTTAAGTATTAGTTACAGTATTTTAAATAAATTCTATTAGTGCCATGATTTCAAATAATCTACAATTTTAAAATATATTTTTCTTCTAAATTAGATTTAGTCATGCTTTCCTTTCCCCTTAGATAATTTTTTTTGAGGGGAAGCTATAAAGGAAATCTTTTTCTCACTTTCAGTTATACCTGACAAAGCAAGACATTTTTCTAAGTAGCTTAAAAAAACCCAGGAGCTTTCCAATAGGAAAACTAAAGGCATGCGTGTAAGGGTATAATCAACATATGTGATGTTTAAACATGTACATCTATCACCATAGTGCTCTTATTGCAATGAGTTCACTAATCCTGATTAAGGTTTATATTTTTAAATGAGGATAATCACAAGTTTAAGGATCAAAGGAAAAAAAAACCTCAACTATATATACACAATGTTGGGTCCTGAACTAGCTGTTACAATTCAAGAAAAGATACATTGGAGTCACTGTAGGTAGTTCTCTAAAAGCATTGGCTCAATGTGCAACAGTGACCCAAAAAGCCAATAAAGTGCTGAGCATCATTAAGAGATTTGAAAACAAAACAGAGAATGCTACCATACAAATCCATGGTGTACCCACATCTTGAATACTATGTACAGTTCTGGTCTCCACCGCTCAAGAAAAAAAAAAAGTAAGAATATAAGAAGAGGAATGCTATGAATCTTTGAACTGTTAATCTAACCTACAATGTAAACTACAGATAAACAATAGTTAAATACTTTGAACACCTACTAATAGTTTTGTGATGATATCTTCATGTTCATCTTCTTGCACAGGACATATTGTATGGATGAAAGGTAGAAATGTTTCAGTGTAATCAAACAAGTATAGATACAACAGACTAAGTCTCGGAGAGCTCTTTAGTGCATACAGCAAAAACAATGATTTTCCTGGATTTACTGCCTGAAATATAAACAAAAAATTAGTAACGAATGAAACAAACCTATGGCAGGGACACAGGGACAGGAGGCTTAGACTTTTCCAGTGAGCTTTTTTATTTTTTAAATAAAGACTTCACACAATTATAATTGAGATCATTATTTACAACATTGACCTATACACAAAGTGTTACACTAAACAGTTTTTACCCAAATTATCCCCCCCGCTTTGAAATCTTCTCAGTTTTGTATTTTCTAGACTTTAGTTATGCATCATAAAACAGTACTTTTTACTACTGAACACTACTTCATACCACAGAGCAGAATGTTTCATACATTCCTTTCATGTACACTGGCCCTCGTGTGCACATTTAGACATTTAGAACCTTTAAAAAATTATGCATGCATTTAATTTTCTTAAAAGATTTGTTAAAATATCTACTCCAGATGATAGGCTTCTGTTTTATAAAATCTACCTTGTATTCCCATAGGTTCTGTGGTGGTTTAACTCCTAATGTTTTGACTTGTTCCAGTTCCATTAGAATAGCTTTTCTATGGCTATTGTTCTGGATATTATAAGGAGCCTTTGTGAGCTCCTCATCTGTTAGTGTAAGGAGTAGTCTACAAAAAAAGATTTGAAAGGGTAAATACTGACACATCACTTCTACTTTAAACAATTAATAACCTGATATCTAGTCTCTGCATAGAATTATAAAAGATGATAGCATTAATACCAAATGCTTTTACCTACACAGTTCGTGCAACTTTTACACACTTCACATTGTCTTGTATCACTGAGAAGCTTGAAATTAAGATTTTCCTTTATTTTATCCCCATATCTGAGGAACAATTTTAAAATCACACAAAGCAACAGAACTGCCTTTTGATACCTAGAGGTGGCCAATACAAATACATGATTGTCAGTTAAATGGTTTAACTGTGACTGTTTAATATAAGATGCAAACAGGTCTTAGAGTAGGGACTAGAGGAGACTCAGAGAGATGGATTCCTTCCATAAGTCTATGGCTTTGGAGGCTCCTGGCTGCTCACTCTACCCTCCAACCCATTCCACTCCCCCCCACAGCTAGAACACTGTGGACTGGTGGATGCCCCAAGCAACCCCTTTTTGCACACATTGGCTGAACAGCACTGCCACCTCCTGCCTTCACAATGAATCTGAAGTGCTTTGGCTGGGGAATGCAGGGGACAGCCATGCTTTTGCATGGCACTGAAGCACTCCAGATTTGAAGAAAACTTTGGAGCACTCTGTAGATATGTAAATTGAAAAAAGGATTTTGCCTCCCTGTAACCCAGTGTTGTAGGCCACAATGCAGACCTAGAAGAGTGGAAATTAAACTGCTGAACAGACTGCTGTGGTTATGGCTAAGATTGTATTTCTCACCTTCCATTCACCCTCTCCAATACAAATCTCTCCTTGTAATGGGAAGCCCATGGACCCAGCTGTTCCAGCCAAAGAATCACCTCCTCAGTAGTCCATTTAGCAACAGGCTTGTGGACAAGAAGATCATCTTCAAATTCTCTGCTGCTCCAGTGATAAACTAATAAAACCACCTGCAAAATGGCCAAGAAATCTTTTAAAAAGTATAATGTACACATTAGCTATGAAATGAGAATTCTGCCTTAAGTTTCCTCTTTGATGAGAGGCAACAAAACACCACCTATTGCAAGTTCACCCAAAGTTTACCACCTCTGTTTGCTGACCAACAGCCAGTACCAATGCCCACTTGTCCCCAAAAATTTGTGTAGGAGTTCCAGCAAACAAATGCTGAACCAAAATCGTAATTTATACTCTTTAAACCAAGACTATTGTTTTCCCATATTTGGAAACAGAATATGAAATACTTACTGCCACACAGGTTAAAGCTGTCAGAACTCCTGAGAAAAAGCCCCCTCCTCGAGGATTAGTTCTTACTGCATTTGCTGCTGTAGGAATCTGATCATTCCCATATTTCTGAAAGGCTGTTAGACTGCGAGTTATCTCACTATTTTGCAGAATGTCTTCTCTTCTCTGTTTAGTGACATCAGGAAATAGCTTTTCAATAGCATCCCTAGGGGAAAAAAAAGAATACTTATCAGTCACTTTGTGATAAGTTGACTGAACCTATTGATATCCAGAACTGGAACTGTTTTCTAGAACCATGTTTTCCTCACTTCTTCGAGAGGGTAAATTTGGAATGAAACAAGTTTTGGAAATAAGCAATGATTAAATACTAATACAAGCATTTCACAAATAATAGCTAAAGTCAAGCCAGCGTTGCTATACAGGAATACAAAGCAAAAAAATTAAGTTTAAACAAATACACACTACTGCATTTAGAGGGTTGGGATATACTTTTTAGAGGACTCCTAACAGGTTTTGAGCAGTTATTGTCCAAGCTCAGAAGCAAAACTTTTATCAAAAGAATAAAATGTAATACATTTCAGACCATTTTAATTTTGAAAATGAAGTACCAAAACATAAATACAATTCAAGACATTGACATAAACATGAATATTTAGCTCTGTTCTATTTGAAGACAAAAAAATTTCCCCAAGAGTCTTAAGAACTCACTGGGCTCATCTACATGTTCATTGATGTGCTGTAATTATGACACATTACATTTAGTACCTGTAATGACAGATACTAACTTAATGTAATGTAATCAGCGCTACTGCAAATAGTCTTTTTGTGATGTCAATGTGCAGTAGACTAAATCTACTGCACATTAGCACAGGTTTTCCCCGCTATGCTAATGCACAGTAGAATTAGTCTATCGCGTTTGAAGTGCCTCGTGTAGACCCACCCACTTTTAATACTGATCATTCCAAGATCAGGTTATTTCTGAAAAGATCAATCACCATATTTGCTCACGTACCAAATGTCCCCCTCTCTTCCCCAAATCAGCCCTCCAAAATGGATGCATTTCTTAAGCAGGGAATTTGATTTTTCCCCCCTGGAATATAAATATAGAGGGACAGAAGCAAGCACTGTGCTAAATGCTGCCAAGATGGCTGAAACAGAAAAGGCAAAGGGTCTTATAGACACACTAAGGCCAAGCACTGTAGGTTGTACCTGAATCTGCAACTGAGATACCTCAGGGCTGTATGCAGTTTATAGCATTTTGATGGTGTTGAGACCTTACTTGATTATTTACAGGAACTTCTGTAAAGAACTGTTTACAGTAAAGTAGTAACAGTTTTGCTACTGTCCTTGCAAGGATCTGGGGCCTAGTCCTGGAAGTTCACCCAGACCATCTCCTGGGATGCACATTTCATAGATATTCTGTGTTTCCTAAAGGACTTGCTCTACACCACACATTTGGCCATGACTTATGAACATATCTTTTCCCCCCTATATTCTGCCTTCCAAAAACAAGCTTTGTGTCTTATCTGGGGGCATGCTGTATGCAAGAGAATACAGTAGGTATTATGATTACCCCCCCCCCCAAAGGAATT